GTCACATGTGGCAATACAAGGCCATCAGATAAACAACACTGGCGAAAGTTGTTTCAGAACAAAGAAAGGCTGTTAACTATCAGCTCGTGTACAATGCATCTCATTTAATATTCGTGACTCACTTGATAAGCGAGCGTCAGCGGGAACTATGAACGGTTTCCCTGTGATATGTGTTCTCAATGAATACAGAAAATTAACTATAAAATGTAAAAGAATTGCATAACGCATATATATTGTACTGTAAATCGAACCAGAATTCCAAGAATTCTACTGTACTTCATTCTTAGTTAATCTTATTAAAATGTTACACAATGACATTGAAAAACAGTATCGTAGCATGGCCACAATAGGCCTAGGCTAAGATTCGTCATGTAATACAATATGCATATCAGATTCGTTCAACTAAAATTGTCTTTTTCTCTTAAAAACTACTAATAAATACAACATGGCTTAACAATAGAAATACTAACAAACGTACCAGTTACAAACTGCACCTTTTCACAATGCACCTGCACTGCATGGTTTTACATAAAAACCAGAAATTTGGCGACAAATCTTGCGGCGTTCTGCACGCAGCTTGCTACAACGACGATCTGTGCTTGTCAAGAGGTCAGTCACCCAAAGGATAAGAAGAAGTGTGAACAGAGAGGGCGCGCTAGCGAGGGAAGATCTAACACTCCCCCACGCTGAAATAACTGAGACTTGACACAGTTAGTTTCAGGACACTTTATTCAAAAAATCACAAGTTACAATATAATGTACATTAGCTACTAAAATTGGCATTGCTTAACACTTATCATCTTTATGGATTAAACCTCTGTGGACAATACACAGCTTTGAAACTGGTCGCTTCAGAACTCCTCCCGTCACCTTTACATCTACACTGCGGACTCTGTCATCATTGCTGCGTTTGACCGATAGAACTTTTCCCATTGGCCATTTTCCTCTCGGAAGCATCTCATCTACTAACAGAACGATATCGTCGACAGCAACGTTCTGTCTCGGGGTGGTCCACTTGTGTCTTTTTTGCAACAGAGGAAGGTACTCCCGTTTCCATAGACTCCAGAAAAGTGATGCAAGATATTGCACCTGAAGCCAACGTCTTCTGCCAAAAGATTCTAGCTTACCTACCGGGGCACTGGGGCCACTCCTCAGAAGGAGTAAGTGATTAGGCGTTAAAGGATCATGATTTTGATCTAGAGACAGATCAGTTAACGGCCTCGAATTGAGGATTGATTCTACCTCGGTTAAAAGAGTATGAAGTACCTCTGTTGTCAATGTTTGTTGCCTTAGAACACCATGTAATACTTTCCTTACTGACCGTATCAGTCTCTCCCATACCCCGCCAAAATGGCTGGCTGCAGGTGGGTTAAAGTGCCATTCACATCCTCTAGTGTGTAGAGCATCTTCTACTACACTATTATTCATATTGTCAAGAGCTTCCCTAAGTTCTCTCTCGCCAGCTACAAAATTTGTCCCGTTGTCGCTAAACATCTTTAATGGTTGACCACGTCTTGCTACAAAACGCCTGAATGCGTTTATAAACGCATCTGCTTCAAGCGATTCAGCAACTTCCAGGTGAACTGCTCTCGACGAGAGACATGTAAAAATACAACCGTACCTTTTTACGGTAGACCTTCTTTCTCTTACTTCAATAGGTCCGAAGTAGTCTACTCCAGTGTTGGTGAAAGGCGGTTGATCAGCTACAACTCTTTCTGCAGGTAAGGGTGCCATGATTTGTTCAGCAGGTCTTGCGTTGAGCTTCTTGCAGGTTACACAGTCTCTAATAACACCTTTAACAACGCACTTACCTTTGACTATATGAAACCTATTGCGAATTGCTGTGAGTGTAGTGGCTACACCACTGTGTCCTACCAAAGCATGATGATGTCTTATTATTAATTTAGTAACGCTACTCTTACCTGATAGCACTATAGGGTGCTTAGACTCAAAGTCCATTTGAGCATTCTCTAGTCTGCCTCCAACTCTCAGCAAATTCCCCATGAGAACCACGTTTAGCTGTCGCATACCTTTATCGGACTTCCAATGGCTAAGAAAACGTCTTTGCTCATTTGCGAGTAAAAGTGACTCACTTTCCTTCAGTTCGCATACACTAAGACTACCTGTAGTTTTCTGCTGATTGTTCATCTTCGCTTTCAGGTTTTGTGTGAACCTTAGACTCCAAGCTGTAACTCTCAGAAGTTTCGTCCAGCTTGAATACTTACTTGCCAGGCTTGTAACAATGTTGTTCTCACTGATTTCGTGAAATACTGAGGCTTGGGCTACCATAACGTCTTTTTTAACCTCAACGTCTGATGGACTGCACTCAAACATTTTCATCGCTGGCCAAGAGGCTTCACCCTGCTTAAGGAAATTAGGGCCTGTAGTCCACTTACTTAAGTTGTATGTACCCCTAGAACCATCATCCGCTGGGTTCAGCTCGGTTGGTACATGTCTCCATTGATATTTAGATGAGGTACTTAGGATTTTACTTACCCTGTTGGCGACAAACGTCTTGAACCGTTTACTTTCATTGTTCAAGTAGCCTAGAACGATCATTGAATCGCTCCAAAACACTGTTTCCGGTAGGCTGTAATTTGCTTCTTTCCTAACGGTGTTATCTAAAGTGACTGCTAGAACAGCAGCCATTAACTAAAGCCTAGGAATGGTGACTGGCTTCGACGGGCTTACCCGGGACTTCCCTAAGACAAATTCAACAGATGTCGAGCCATCACCTAAAATCACCCGAAGGTAGGCAACTGCAGCGTACCCTTTTTCGGACGCGTCACAGAAGACGTGTAACTGTAGTCCAGTTGCTATGTCAATCTTTAGCCATCTCGGTATACTTACATTTGAAAGCACTGGAATATGATCCAACCAATTCCGCCATTCTCTTTGCTCGGCTTCAGTCAGTGGCTTGTCCCAGTCAGCGTCTCTGCGACACACATTCTGTAAGAGGGACCTTGCTATAAGCACAAATGGAGATGCAATTCCTAGGGGGTCAAAAACCGAACTGGTTACAGAAAGCAAGCCTCTCCTAGTCACAGGTTTTTCCTTTGGAGTCAACTGAAAAGTGAACTGGTCGTTTTCGGAATTCCAAGAAACGCCTAATGTTCTTTCAGTTGGTAATTCGTCTAACGATAGTGACAATGATGGCGATCTCTCATCTTCATCTACAGATGCTAATACTTCTCTGTCATTGCTCAACCATTTGGTTAGCTGGAAGCCACCATGACTTGTGATATCTGTCAACTTCTTTACTAAATCGATAGCTGTTTGAGTGTTGCTAGCTGAGGCAAGGCAATCATCGACATAGAAGCTGCTTCTGATAGTTTGTATCGCCTTCTTACCTATGTCATCATTGTTAAGGGCTTCACAGTCATCGGCGGTCTGTTTCAATGCCTTACCTGAGCAACAGGGAGAAGAGGTGGCACCAAACAGGTGCACGCGCATTCGGTACTCTTTATATGGCTGATCTATGTTACCACTTTCCCACCAGAGAAACCGAAGGACATCTCTATCAGCTTCTCTCATTCGCACTTGGTGGAACATAGATTTAATGTCGGCAACGACAGCTATCTTACCTTCCCTGAAGCGTAAAAGCACACCAAGCAAGTCGTTCATAAGATCGGGACCTTTTAGAAGGTTATCATTAAGTGATGTACCAGATGATTTAGCTGCACAGTCATAAACAACTCTTACCTTCGTCTTGTGAGGGTGTACAACTGGGTGATGCGGTAAATACCATACGTTTCCAGGCTGGCATTCATTTTGGACAGGCTCGGCATAGCCGTCATCTATGTAACTTTCAATTACTGCAGTGTACTTAGCTTTAAGCTCTACATCTGCGAGAAGTCTTTTCTTGAGAGAGGCGAGTCTAGACTCAGCCATCGGTTTGTTGTTCGGCAGATGATGATCGTCATGCTTCCACAACAGTCCCATTTCGTAGTGGCCATCGACTTTGGTAATAGTAGAGTTTATAATACTTCTTGCTCTTGCATCCTCTACAGAATCTTGTACGTCAACCAGACCACTCGTTTCTACGGCCCATGATCGTTGCACTTCGTCCAAAAGTTGCCTATTACTTACTTGAACTCTGTTGAGATGGCACTCACCACTGCTTCTTTGCGCTCCTGGTCCCATAATTGACCAACCAAGAGGTGTTTTAACGGCGTAAGGGTCATTTTCCTTACCTTGACGTCTGTCCTCTACCCAGAATGCCTTAGGGTGATCTGCAGCAATCAATAGCTCGACATCCTGATGATGTGGGTAATCTTCCCATGGTATGGAACGCAGATGTTCCCACTTACTAATCTCCTTTGAAGATGGTCGACTTTCTACTGAGGCTGGGATATCTTTAACTGAAAGAAGATCTAAATTAAACTCGTCAGTTTCGTACTTACCTTTAATGGAGAGACTAAAGGACCATCTTCACATTTCTTAACGCCATTAATGGTTGAAGAAGTAAATGTATGTCGCTCTCCTCTTACTTCTAACCTATGCATAAGATCTTCCGAACAAAGACTGGTGTCGGAACCATCATCCAACAGTGCAAATGTACTTACCTGTCGACCATTACTAGAAGTGACAGTGACTGGTAAAACTCGCATAAATACTTTAGTCCCACTAGAAATGGCTCGTGTGTTGATGTGGTCTTGTTCAGGTGGGTGCCTGTCTCTTATACACATCTAGATGTGTATAAGAGACAGAAATACAACCGTACATTGACAGCTCAAACAGGGCTGTAGCCACAGAAATTAAAGTGGTCAGGTTGCAAGCGAAGCAAGCAAATGAGGCGGAGGCCAGGGGGGCGACGAAGGGCTCACGTGAGGCATTCCAATGGCCTATGGACCAGGAAAATTATTCTATTTTGACAATTAACTAACAGACCAATTTACATGATGTTCTGTAATAGTACCTTTAAAAATATTACCCGGGACTTCCCTAAGACAAATTCAACAGATGTCGAGCCATCACCTAAAATCACCCGAAGGTAGGCAACTGCAGCGTACCCTTTTTCGGACGCGTCACAGAAGACGTGTAACTGTAGTCCAGTTGCTATGTCAATCTTTAGCCATCTCGGTATACTTACATTTGAAAGCACTGGAATATGATCCAACCAATTCCGCCATTCTCTTTGCTCGGCTTCAGTCAGTGGCTTGTCCCAGTCAGCGTCTCTGCGACACACATTCTGTAAGAGGGACCTTGCTATAAGCACAAATGGAGATGCAATTCCTAGGGGGTCAAAAACCGAACTGGTTACAGAAAGCAAGCCTCTCCTAGTCACAGGTTTTTCCTTTGGAGTCAACTGAAAAGTGAACTGGTCGTTTTCGGAATTCCAAGAAACGCCTAATGTTCTTTCAGTTGGTAATTCGTCTAACGATAGTGACAATGATGGCGATCTCTCATCTTCATCTACAGATGCTAATACTTCTCTGTCATTGCTCAACCATTTGGTTAGCTGGAAGCCACCATGACTTGTGATATCTGTCAACTTCTTTACTAAATCGATAGCTGTTTGAGTGTTGCTAGCCGAGGCAAGGCAATCATCGACATAGAAGCTGCTTCTGATAGTTTCTATCGCCTTCTTACCTATGTCATCATTGTTAAGGGCTTCACAGTCATCGGCGGTCTGTTTCAATGCCTTACCTGAGCAACAGGGAGAAGAGGTGGCACCAAACAGGTGCACGCACATTCGGTACTCTTTATATGGCTGATCTAAGTTACCACTTTCCCACCAGAGAAACCGAAGGACATCTCTATCAGCTTCTCTCATTCGCACTTGGTGGAACATAGATTTAATGTCGGCAACGACAGCTATCTTACCTTCCCTGAAGCGTAAAAGCACACCAAGCAAGTCATTCATAAGATCGGGACCTTTTAGAAGGTTATCATTAAGTGATGTACCAGATGATTTAGCTGCACAGTCATAAACAACTCTTACCTTCGTCTTGTGAGGGTGTACAACTGGGTGATGCGGTAAATACCATACGTTTCCAGGCTGGCCTTCATTTTGGACAGGCTCGGCATAGCCGTCATCTATGTAACTTTCAATTACTGCAGTGTACTTAGCTTTAAGCTCTACATCTGCGAGAAGTCTTTTCTTGAGAGAGGCGAGTCTAGACTCAGCCATCGGTTTGTTGTTCGGCAGATGATGATCGTCATGCTTCCACAACAGTCCCATTTCGTAGTGGCCATCGACTTTGGTAATAGTAGAGTTCATGATACTTCTTGCTCTTGCATCCTCTACAGAATCTTGTACGTCAACCAGACCACTCGTTTCTACGGCCCATGATCGTTGCACTTCGTCCAAAAGTTGCCTATTACTTACTTGAACTCTGTTGAGATGGCACTCACCACTGCTTCTTTGCGCTCCTGGTCCCATAATTGACCAACCAAGAGGTGTTTTAACGGCGTAAGGGTCATTTTCCTTACATTGACGTCTGTCCTCTACCCAGAATGCCTTAGGGTGATCTGCAGCAATCAATAGCTCGACATCCTGATGATGTGGGTAATCTTCCCATGGTATGGAACGCAGATGTTCCCACTTACTAATCTCCTTTGAAGATGGTCGACTTTCTACTGAGGCTGGGATATCTTTAACTGAAAGAAGATCTAAATTAAACTCGTCAGTTTCGTACTTACCTTTAATGGAGAGACTAAAGGACCATCCTTCACATTTCTTAACGCCATTAATGGTTGAAGAAGTAAATGTATGTCGCTCTCCTCTTACTTCTAACCTATGCATAAGATCTTCCGAACAAAGACTGGTGTCGGAACCATCATCTAACAGTGCAAATGTACTTACCTGTCGACCATTACTAGAAGTGACAGTGACTGGTAAAACTCGCATAAATACTTTAGTCCCACTAGAAATGGCTCGTGTGTTGATGTGGTCTTGTTCAGGTGGGTGCAAAAGGCTGTGGTGCTTATCTGATCCGCAACGACATTTCCAGTTCCTTCTGCATCTTGAAATGACATGACCTGTTAGCAGGCATCGGAAGCATAGCCTCTTCGCAGCAGCGAGTTCGATCCGTTTCTTATAGTCTGCATCAAGAAATCCTTTGCACGTGTACACTTGGTGGTCACCATTACATATAAAGCACTTCATTTGTTTGGTTACCTTCTCTGTGCTGATGTTGTTGGTTTTAACATGTGGTGGCTTTTGTCCTTGTCTTTCACTGCCTTTAAATTTGCCTAGATTTAGGCCAAACATTGTGGATGACACCTCAGCATGTAAAACAAGAAAATCTAGCAAATCACTGAACTTGGGCTCTCTTTCATCTTTGGATATAATGCTATGTGCATTCTTGGCCCATGATGTTTGCAAGTGGTGGGGTAGCAAGTCTTGTACCTTGAGCAAATTACTGGTGCTATCAAGATTGTGGGTATAACCAAGTTTTGTTAGTGTAACATAGCATTTTTTCATACAGGCTATAAGGTTCCACAAACCATTGGAATCATTGGCTTTAATTGGACGCCTATCAGTAAGCTCGCGCATGAGAGCACTAAGAATCATAAAAGGCTGACCAAACTGAGTACGCAAGATCTTTTTCGCTTCATTGTAACCGTCAGCGCCTAGCAGGTCGCAGCATTCTATATGGGAACGCGCTTTGCCTTGGCACATTGTCTTAAGGTGTTGTAAACGGGTTGCATTACAACTTAATTTACTTTCAATCACTGTTTCAAAATTCGTAATAAATGAAAAGTATTCTAATGGGTTACCATTAAACTTCATAAATTCTGGCTTCGGCAATTCAAGAGCTAGCTTGATTTCATTGAAATCACTTAACCGAGAGCTAGTACTAGGTGTGGCCTCAAGTCCTGATACATCAGGGTTTACATTAACTGGTACCACATTATCATTTACAGATGAACCACTCTCTGAAGGATCAGAGATCAAATTACCACTATTTACAATAATGTTATCATTAACACTATGAGAAACCTCGATATCATGAGAAACTGTTTCTTTACTTATAACATGTACATTTCCAGCACTATCATTAGACTGCTGGCATACCTTACTTTCGGTTTTTAACCGTATACTGATAAACGTGGCTTGGACATCTTCCATCCAGGCGACAAATCTTGCGGCGTTCTGCACGCAGCTTGCTACAACGACGATCTGTGCGTGTCAAGAGGTCAGTCACCCAAAGGATAAAAAGAAGTGTGAACAGAGAGGGCGCGCTAGCAAGGGAAGATCTAACACATACTGTTACTATTTCATATGCTATTAAGTTAAAGATTCATATGCTAGGCCTATTTATTATGCCTTTTATTACTATGTTATATTGTGTATTACTATTTTATTGTTTCTGGTTTATTACAGTGATAAATGAACACACACACATTACCATACACTACTACCACTTAGCTACTACAGTATAGTGTGACCGACGCCACGCACCGCATTACGCAGTACAGTACGCTACTATCCTACGTGAACTCATTTCAATATCACTCATCTACTGAATTGATATACTGGCTTTGAGCAAATACGCTCACATGATAAAGTGTTGATCTCATCTGCAATAATAAACTATCATTGTGTCAACCTGGAACAGTTGTGTACAGTCTGTCATTCGTTATCCGAACCACTATAACAGCACATTAGGTGGAGACATAATATCCCCCCTTTCTTACATATATATATATAAATATAATATACAAATAAGTATATAAAAATAAATATATAATTAAATATATAATAAATATATACATATATATAAATAAATGAATATACAAATAAATATATATATATATAAATATACAAATATATATAAATATACAAATAAATATAAAAATTACGTATGTATCTGTATATTTGTATTTTAACAACATCAATCGGCACTGCACTGATTCGAAAAAGTAACCAAGTCCAAAAGTATATGTACTGCGCATGACTGGACTACACAGGCAAAGTGTTATTTATTTATCTACTAGGCCAAAGAATAGGCTAGGCCTACGTGTTTGCAAAACTGGATAACCTGAAAAAAAAATAAGTGTATGGCTCGCGGACTCGCATGGCTCGCATGACTCGCACATTGGCTCGCACTTTTGGCACTACTCGTTTTATTAGGCCTATATATAACGTGTACTAATGCATATTGACATGTTTAGAAGTATTCACTTTGAGTGATCCCAGGAAAGAATTTGTATTGGCTCAAGAATAAGCTTTAAAATTTTAACACTGTGTACAAAGGGGGGGGGGGGTGGAGCCGCGGCTCCCACGGCTTCCCCTGGATACGTCCCTGTTCAAGACAAGTCTGTCAATTAATTTTTGGCGAGCAGCTGATCGAAAAATCGTCCCGACGATCGAGCGACTATATAGCGTAGATAATACATACAGTATAGTGTGAAGCGTGAGTTTTGTGATCGTTGTGGTGTAGGACCGGTTCGGCCGTACACTTGTACTTCTACTGGTGGTACACGGGAACCTTATAATAAAAATAACGATTACTAATGAAAATGTGTTGTTTGTTTTTACTTCTACTGGTGGTACACGGGAACCTAATAATAAAAATAACGATTACTAATGAAAATGAGTTGTTTGTTTTTACTTCTACTGGTGGTACACAGGAACCTTATAATAAAAATAACGATTACTAATAAAAATGTGTTGCTTGTTTTTACTTCTACTGGTGGTACACAGGAACCTTATAATAAAAATAACGATTACTAATAAAAATGTGTTGTTTGTTTTTACTTCTACTGGTGGTACACGGGAACCTAATACTAAAAATAACGATTACTAATGAAAATGTGTAGTTTCTTTTTATTTCTAATAATACTGTACCGTTTAGACCATTGTATTTAGTAGTAATATATTAGTAATATTGTTTGTTAAATCTGTAATCAGTTGGTGAATTTGCTTTGCATGCACGTCCGTCAAAATATGCATGTTTTGTCCTCGAACGCAAGACGGTAAATAACGTCACCACGGAAATGTGTACTCTATTGTTATTTTTTTCAATGAAGGGCGTTTACAGTTAACTTAAAGTGCTTGGTTGTAGAGAAAGATTATTATTACTGTATTATCATATTATACTGTATAGAGTATTTTAAGATTTCTACAATATCTACAATATGGAAAGACAATATCAAATAAATTGAAAGTTAATAAAAATAAAATTATTACAATTTACATCATTCAAATTAATTAAAAATGTGTTTATTCAACGAAACATAAAGCATCAATAATATTGTAAGCTCCAATGATATTAAGATAAATGCAGTAAAATACACTGGCTGTATATTAAAATTATCAACATTATTCTTCAATGATTATATCGACTATACGGTAGCATTATTGTAATACAAAATATATAAAATTTTGTTTGATTATTAACATATATGAATGCATAATGATGTACATTCGTACAGTTTCAAATATACTGTACAGTATATTTCCGACGAAATATATGAATCTTAACTAGGCCTATATAGCAATAGATTAACCACACACACAAAATAGTAAATTCCATTTCACTTGGTTTGATTATCAAAATATGATTACATAATAACGAACTTCGTTTGTTTCAAATGATAAAACGAAATAGGGGCCTATATGAATCTGAAACATTAATATTGTATTTTGGAATATAACTAATTAATCTTGCATTATGTAGACCTATGTATAATAATCGTAATTATTATATACTGTACGTTTCAAAAACCGAAAGGTCCACTGATTAATTTCAGATAAGAAAGTATAATACATACTCCAAGTATTGAAATACACGCCATCGTGTTGGGATTCAATATTTCGACATTAATTATTAT